AGCACACACGGATCCAGTTTGCACCAGTTTGTTGAACTCCTCAATAGCTTCTTCTGGACTCCCCTCACCAAATCTGACACACAGAGCAGTTGATAATTCTGACCAAGGAATAGTCTCCTTACCATGGAAGACTCCATGGAACCAGATGTCTGCTCTGTCTCTGAAGTAGAGCTCAGCTACCTCAGCCTTCATATCCTCTTCAATTCCATGTATCTTGAAATATTTGTTAGCCTTCCTGATCCACTCCCTTGGGTTATCACCATCAAAAATTGGCAGATCCATTTTAGGTAACCTGTTATTGAGCTTGGTCTCCCTCCTGCCATATGTTTCCTTCTGTGATTCCAGCTTTGATTCATCAGGATGATCTCCTCCCCTTGAGCTGCTACTTCCTTCAAGCTCCTTCCCTCGGTCACTGATCTTAGCCATCAACTGAGCCATCATGTTCATCATTCCCTCATACTTCTGGTCCAACCCTTTCAGCAGCTTTTCAGTGGCATCCTGTCTGAACTCCATTGTCCTGATAGCTTGTTCCATTCCCTCACTCTTATTGGTAAAGGTCCTGACCACACTCCCCAATTCAACTACGTCTCTTCTCAGAGTTTCATCCTGATTCTTTGTCATCCCTATGGCTCGCAATCAAGCTCTGATACCACTGTTGTGGTACAGAACCAGAATTGTTGCAGGAAATGGAAAGAACAAAGCTTAGGAAATGAATTTAGAGAATTTGTAGGCACAAAGAATTCAAAACAAACACCTCCTTCGCATTAATCAATCTCGTAGTTCAAATACAGAAATAGACTTGGCGGAAAAAGTACAGAAGGGGAATTAGAATGTAGGAAACGTGAAGAAGAAGAAAATACAAAGAGGAAAATTCTCTTTTGATTACAACAGCAAGGATTTAGCCAAAAGAATGAAATGAATATTACATGATCCTTAGCTTTATACTACTAGTAATCTAACTAACTAATCCCACTAGCTAATGAGCGAGTAACACGTGGCTGTAGGAATCTTTCAGTTAGCTTGGACCACAGCTCAGCTTCAGCAGAGATCGCATGAACCCAGGAAAGACGTGATTTCCTGGTCACGCCTTCTTCTGTTGTCTTTGCTCCTTCCACGCCTTTCTCGTTCCATCTTTGCGCCTTCTTCCTGCTTATGTACTAACTAACTCTTGGTCGCGCCTTCCAGCTAATTTCTCTTCAGACTCACGCCTTCCCTCTTTCCCCTTCCACGCCTTCTGACTATTGACTTCATTACACTTTCATTTCCATCAAACTTGGAAGCGAATTCTTGATCGAAGTCTCTGCAAGTAATGAGTTACAATTGAATATAGACCCCATTTTTTGGTAATTTTTGAACACTCTAGATCTTTACACATGTTGTCTTTGTCATCTAATCTATTTTCAAGAATCGATGTTGTGATGGGTGGGTCTATATTTATCATAGTTGAAGAGCACCTAAAACATCAATTGATATTGTGACGATCCCACCTCTCCCAAGTGCGTACCCTAAGGTATCAGCGGGCCGTCTATCCAACTCTCGTCAGGACTCGTTTAACAAACCACAAAATCAAACCCAATATCCAATTTTGCCACAAAATACGCTAAATACAACTAGTACATACAGTTGTCTGTCGAAACAACTTAAAATACAAAAGAGGGTTTAAGCTTACAATTCACATTCAAAATAATGTAATACCCTAATCACTTAGTCTAACTAAAATAAAAGCTAAGTGCTAATTCCCCAAATCACGAACCAACCCTGCTAAGAAAAACAAAAGAAAAGGTATGAGTTTGCACCACGTGAGGTCTAAGAAAGACATGCAATTTAAGAAAGCAATAATTTCATATTTTAAGTCAACAAGAAACATAAACAAAAGGTATCATATAAGCACATCATTAAAATCGATATGTCAATCATTAAAGATACTGAGTACTAGCAAACACTTTATCAATCAGTAATTCAAGTAGTTGATACTCCGTCAACTTTCATGTCATGTAGAATCACCACTTCACACCACTCCTCCGTCCACCTTTCACCCCCTACCGGACCCGCACACCAACAAAATTTCAATGATTGGTATTACTCAAATATACCTAGAATAGTATGGATCCAACATATATACACTACCCAAGGTTTGCTAATCGAGTTGACCAAGCCCTTGCCGGCTCAATCTCGAATAACTAGCCATTGAGTTTTGGGGCCCCACATATCATTAATATTATATCACATTCACTTATAGCAATAATAATTTAACAGGGTCGAGTGTGATAATGTATACACTTGCCCATTCATAAACAAGTTCAAAAGAATGACAGTTTATAATCATATCATTTTCTCAAGCTCATTAACATATCAAGCATTTGTATAGTGCTACCATGCACTTAGAACACTCACCAAATAGCACTTAACCGTCTACAGAAGGATTGCCTACACGTTCAGATTGCAGCCCTAGCAAACAATTACAACATATAAGTGAACCCTTAGTATTCACCAAATCAATTCACTTAAGCACGAAAACTTTGTTTTCAAATTAGTCGACTTTAGTATCCTAGACACTTCAACCCATTCAGGTTTTCAAATCAGCAATTCAGGTAAAAATACAACTTTTCATTAAGGCAAAAACATTTCAAAAGTTTGAACAAGACTTTTCACTCCTACAAGTTTTCTAGCAAACAAATCATAGCAAAAGTCTACTTTTTCAATTACTTACTTTCATAGTTTTTGTCCAAAAATCATTACACAAACCAAGATCAAAGTTTAATAAGGTTTCTTGAACTAGACCAACCAAAACTTCATTAAAACAAGGATCCAAAGTCAAATCAATCCATGAAGTTGTCAACCACTAAATTTTGGAGGAAATCTTACTTTCCCCTCTTTTTAACTTCAAAATTTTGATCCAAAATTATTATACATACCAAAATCAAAGTCCAATAGAATCTTTTGAACTAAATTTCACCCAAAACAGTTTTTAAAATAGAAAATTAAAGTTGGAGTTTTTGGCTCACAAATTTGGCCAACTTAGGCCATTTTTCTAGCTTTTTCAACTTTACTTTTTCCAACTAGATAACCCACATCACCACTTCATTTTCTTACAAATTTTTCAACATAATCCAACCAACATACATAGAGTCAAGTAGCATCAAATTTCCTAAAAAAAATTCAGTACAAGTGTACAAACAAGCCACAAATTCAAGGAAGGTAAAGATGAAATTTGTCCATGATAATTGGCCATTTAAATAGAAATTTTAGCATATATATACTCCAATTTTCACCAACAATCCACCATAAATCACACTCAAATCCTCATGGGTTTCATCAATCATTAACTTTAGGATCTCAAGAGACAAGAATCCCTCAAATTCTAGCCAAATATATCAAGATATAAGCGTACCAAGATCATTAAAGCATTGAGTACCAAATTTTTATAAAACTTTCAAACCCAACATGGGTTTTCTATAAATACCATAGATCTACCAAGATCTAGTCCAAAATTGCTTGAAAAGCAAAAGAATGAAGTAGATTAGCCACTTACCTCTTCAAAGCTCCAATCTTTAGCAAAATTAACCCAAGAAAATGGCAAGATCCACTCTTAGGAGCCTTTTCCTTCAAGATCTTTCAAAAGTTTAAGTAGTTTGGTGAAAGGGAAGTTTGGGTCTGCAAGAATTTCAAGAAGAATTGGAGTCTCTCTCTCTCTCTCTTCCTCTCTCTATGGTTCGGCCATCAAGGGAAGCAAAATGAGGGCATTTTGGTTGTTTTTGAGCTAATATACTAGCCACAAGAAAGGTTTTTAAGTCAACTTTGACTAGTGTCCAAATAGTGTCTTCCACTTAAATTTCTTGTTATTAACCCTTAGACTTTCTAACCTTCTTTTACCTCTCAAAAATCTTTTTTTATTTCACTAATATCTTAACTTATATTCTTCTAGGGTTTTGGCCAAATTCACTAATAAGTCGCGAAATCAACAATTTCAAGAAATTAATCGCTAGAAGGTTAAAATATGCAAGCAAAAGAAACTCATTTATCACTTAACAAGTAGATCACTAAATGAATGCAAATTTTATACAAATATAATTTAAATAGAAATGCAAACAGTTGGGAAGTGAGAAAATAATTTTTTTTCTAGGTTATCACAGATATTGTGTTACCACATGAATTGATATTTTATTATATAAATTCACTTTTGTTCCTCAGTTTTGTGTTGGGATATTTGATTGTTGTCCTCTCCTGAACCATGGATGGTCGATTTTGACAAAGCCAACGACCCGTCGTATCTAGACATCCTTCGAAAGGAACTTTGCAAGTTGAGTCTTTATTTATTAAATAGGAAAGATTCCAAATGAGAAGAGAGTCTCCACTCATCAATATAGACTTTGGACCGTACCAATTGAGCCTACCGTCGAGACATTTAAAACGAGTTTTCAAAATACAAAAGAGGTACTTATTGGATGGAAAATAATGATTATCTCTAAGAACTCTTGAAACAATTAGATAATTACATGTCTGCATTTATATGAATTGAAATGCAATTTGATGAACATGTTATCTAAATTATTACATGCCTTAGCCAGTAATTAAAGTCCATTGCTTCTTGCCTTTTATAATCATTGATTCATTTAGTAAGTCCAAATTGAATAGACAGGAACTAAAACAACTTTATCTCTTAATGTATCTATAGTAAATACACTTGTCTATATCTAGTTTGGGAAAAATCTCTACAACTTATCATTTCTGGAGCTTCTGACTGATTTAGAGTTTCAGGTTGAACCTAGTAGCTATATGCTAGCTGAAAAGCTATTTGCTGTAATTTCAAGTTGAGTGCTTTAAGGCTATATGCCGTTGGATACAATGGATATGCTGTAATTTCAATTTTTAAACATTCAAGTGCATGACATATATAAGCTGTCTAAGAAATCCATGTAATCAATCAACAAATGGGAGTGGTATTCCTACATTAAAAAAAAAAGAAAGAAAGAAAAACTGGCAACGACTAAGTAGCAACTTCAGTAATCTGGCAACCTTCTTTTTACCAATATGACTCCCTTGTTTGCATAGGCTGCTCAATAATTTTTTAACTTTTAAGAGGCATCACAGTATAATAGCCAAGAAAACCTAGAGGAGGGAGAAGGAAAAATGCGCGAGAATGGCTCATCCCATGCGTGATAAGAAATATAAAATATTTTGGAAGTTAGTATAGCTAATGAATCATCCTTTGTAGATTTAGTACGAAATGTTTCAAAAGGACAAAAATGACAAAAATATTTACACCAAAAACTATCTTATTGCTATTATTAATTTTAATTTTAATTTTGTTTTCCATTCTTATTTCCTTCAGAAAATCTTTTTTGGAATTCCTTTCCATTTGTTTAGTACTTTTCTTTGTTAACCAACAGAATAAAGCATTAGGGTTTTCAAAGGCATTCACTTCCCATTTTCCACTTTCTATTCCTCACTCGTTTCCTGGAACCAAATAGGGCCTAAAACAATTAAGATACATAGAATTCTCACTACTTTGAATAGAAAATCAAGCTAAACATGAAAAAATTACTTACTGCTCACTAAAAATATCAGGCTAAAATTATTCCTGTACAATAATAATTGACCATAACATGGCTAAATTATTATTTTCCAGCCATGCAATTGCATTACATTCAATATTTTTGTACATAGTCTTATTTAAACTGTAAAGAGCAAACAACTAAAGACAAGGCAAGTACACAACAAGACAAAACTAAAGACAAAACTAAAGACAAATCTAGCTTGATCATAGTTTAAAGAAATTAAGATACATGGAATAATTCATTGAGTAGTAAACCATGTCTGATAGTAGCAAAACTATCATAAAGAAAGCAAACACACGAAATCTATGTGCTCAGAATAGAAAAGAGATTACACAAGTACCAAAATAGGAAAAAGAAAAAACATCATTACAAGATGAAAAAAGAGCAAAAAAATACACAAACAACAAACACACACACATATATGTTTGCAAATACACGATTATTAAAAAGGTAATAAATACTTAAATCTATATTTTTGTTTTATTTTGAATGTTCTCATAATAATTATTTTGACTTTTCTGTTGATTGTCATATAATTCATAAATAATAACCTTTATGGTTTAATAATAATACTAACCTTCATATAATTCATAAATATATGTTGATTGTCTTCTTGATTTTTGATAATGTTCTTGTATGGTGCTTTTTCAACTTAGACATACATCCTATTTTGGACAAGAATTAGTTTGATGGGGAAAATGCACTTTTTATCTCTAATATTTGGGATGTTGGGCAATTTCATCCTAAAGTTTCAGTCAAAATACATTACATCCTCATAGTTTTGTAATTTTGACCAATTTCATTCCTAAAATTTCATGCAAACAGATTTCATCCTCATAATTTTATAAATTTGAACAATTGAGGACAATTGAATGATTGTTAACCAATTAGGACCGAAGATCATCACATGACTAGCATGTCCTGTTAATAAATGTATTGTTAATACTTAATTCGGTTATTGATTAAATTATATAAATAATAATGAGTGTATTCGAATAAGAATTTTTTTTTAAAAAATTTGTGATATTATGCATGTGAGAAAAAAATAGACTGTATGATAAATAGACGATTGAAAAACATGCATATGATGCAAAAATAAAATAATATTTTGCAAATTAATGACAATCTAAATAATTCTTTCTTTCACTTTAATATTTTTCTCCAATTGGTTGCAAATGGATTGCTTGAAATGTTTCTCCAATTGATTGTTTCTTCTCCACGACTTTATTTCCTCCCAATCTTTTTGTTCAATTTGTGATTAAGACATGAGTAATGGTGGCTGAAAATTTCTTAACTTTTTTTTAGAAATAAGAAAGTGAATTGAAAATGATTTTTGAGGTTTTTGTTGATACAATGTTTTTTGTGTTTTATTTGCATGCATAATATGGTCAAGCAATGATATTCCATTCAAATTGCTTAACAATCTATCAATTGTCCTTAATTAGTCAAATTTATGAAACTATGAGGATGAAATGTGGTTGCATGAAACTTTAAGGATGAAATTGGTCAAAATTATAAAATTTTGAGGATAAAATGTGTTTTGACTGAAACTTTAGGGATGAAATTGTCCAAAACCTCCAACAATGGGGATCAAAAGTGCATGTTTTGTGACGATCCAGCCAGACCCTAGGCGAACCATAGGGTTTAGCGGACCGCCTGCCAACTCTTGCTAGAACTCACTCAAAAACCTTTCAATCAATAGCATTAACTCCAAAGTAAGCATTCAAACACCACAATTAAATATTACAAATCATCTAACATTGCAAATCATTCATACTTATATGTACAACTAAACGGATCAAATTATAAGTTGTTCAATCAATTCACTAAGTACAAATAGAATGGCAATTTACTTAAAACAAAGACTTCAATTCTCGAACTCACTATTCTCCGGTTCCACATTTCCAATCCATGTTAAGGATGATAAACTAAAGGGTTGTTTTAATGCCCAGTGAGGAAAATAGATAACCATAAACACATAATTTTACACTTTCAGTAATATAACAGGAATAACAAACCAATTAATAATAGGATAATTCGTGAAACAATTCTTAACAAATAGCACAATCAATATCAAATGATACGTACTAATACGGACTCTAGAGGTGACTCTCGTCTATTTCCAGACACTTAACTCTATTTAGTATTTCATTGCATAACTTCCTGCAATCACTTCACACTCCACCAATCTCCTCCTTATATTCTCCAGAATAATAAACAGTCCCCTACAATCATTAATCATTTCATCACTCCAATAGGCACCTCAATAAGGGGGTAATACTCAAAGTATACCAAACATTTCAATGCCCAAAGTCTTCTAGCCTATTCGACCAAGCCCGCTACTGGCTCGAATAGACTGTCCAACAGTGGGGTTTGGGTCCAGTTCAGCCATTGTAATAATGTACACAATCGGCTTACATTCATACACAATTCCAGTAACAATTAGGCATTTATCATTTTCAACATTCATTTAGGTCGAGGGCAATAAAGTATGCACTCATCTTTCAGTAAAACTGTAGCAATTGTCAATTTTCACTCTAAACAATTCAAGCATTAATAATCCAACAAACATTAGTCAACTAAGCATATAACATTTATCATTCATCATATATTCAATCATTACAAACAAATATAGAACACTCACCCTAAAAGATTAATTCACACTTTGGCTCTGAGGTTTCCTCCTTGCACTCTATTGCCCCTAAGACAATTTACAATTACCTAAGAACCAGGGATACAACAATGTAGAAGGTCACTCAGTCCAAATCCTAGCACAACTAGGTCAAACATGCAGAATACCAAACCAGAACCGAGATTGCAGGTTTACAAATTACACAATGCTGTAATTAGTCCAACTCAGTCTATACAGGTCCAAATGCATTGATTCCAAAGGAATATGGTATCTAGGACATCAAGCTACATTTCATCAGAAGACACCAACATCCAAATCCAAAGCAATTCCAGTCAAAACAGACGATTACAATCGCAGTTCGCACATTCTGATCACCCAGAACAGCAACAGTAAAAATGACATATCTCATTCTACACTACTCCAAATGCCCTGAAATTTACAGGCACCTCAAACACATCAATACCTACAACTTTCATGTTTTAAGCAAAGGCCAATTCGGCCTCTAACCATATGATCCAAAACCGGACAGAAAAGGGGGTCATGAAACCCTAACTTCCTCAAATTCCTTCCAAACCCAAAATTGGTTGCAATTATCAATCATTTACATCCACTAGAGTCATAACCCCTTATTACCAACCATCATAAATAACCACAACACCATGATCACATTAAACCAGAAAATTCCTCAAAAAAAATAAAAACTTCACCAATTCACCTCAAACCAAGAAATAAATCACAAATTTCAACACTTTAGCCACCACTAGGCACAAATTAAACATCATTAGGTGTAAGAGGAAGTGTAATCATCACTTACCTAGTAAACAAGAGAGAGGGAGTTGTAGAACACCTTAGCTTCCTTAAAAAACTTCACCAAACAACTTACTAGCACCTAATGGAAGACTTTTATGGAGTAGAAACTAGTTGATGCAATTGGTTTGGAAGATTGAGCTAAATGGAAGCTTGAAAATTGGAGAAATCTTCTTCCTTCTTGAGCTTAAGAGAGTCGGCCACCAAGGAGTGAAAAATGGTGATTTTTAGTCAATTTTTTAGATATTTAACTTAAGGGTAAAAAGTCAAAAAGTCCAACCAATGAGAAAGTGCCACTTGGCACTCTATTAAATGCATTTCTATCCTTTAAGTCTCTCTCACATCAATCAAATCACCTCCTCTTCTTCTCTCTTAACACCCGATAAATTTCACTCAGTATCCGGAACTTAATCTTATTGGCCAAATTTTTCCGAACTTTCGCACTAGTGGGTCCCACGTCCGATATATATATCCTTAATTTCTCAAAAACTAACCGATACTAGAAAATCATTTTAAAACTATTTTTGCTCATAAACTTTATCTGGGGAATTTTTCTAATAAAGAAAATGTAGAAAAGGCGGGCGTTTAAAAAAATAAACCCTAGAAAATTAGAAAGTTTCCGGGTTCTCAAACATATTTTTTTCGGGGCGTCACAATCTCCCCTCCTTAAAAGAATGTCGTCCTCGACATTCCCTCTTGTACCAATCAAGTCAAGACATCCCGCAAAAATCTCTCAAGAGTCAAATCAAACCCACAGTCCGGCATCCTAAACTTCAAGCCTAGGATACACTACAGAGATCTGAAGCCTAAGCTCTGATACCAATTGTCACGGCCCCACCTCCCCCTGAGGCGAACCAGAGGGTTCGGCGGGCCGCCTGCCCAGCTCTCGCCGGGACTCAGTCGTTCACTAAAGTCCTCAATTGAATTTCAAGATATATATATATCAAATATAAATCAAAGGTCCCAAACTTTACATATCAAAAGCGAAGCGTCCACGCTTCCACTGCGCCACTCTCATCCATGATCCCAATTATTATACAGGAGGAAGTCCAAAAC